CAGGTCAGAATCAATAAGAAAAAAACTCTCCAGGGATGAAAGGGCAACAAAACCTGCCAAGCAACTCTGTGCATGTGATTGAAGCTGAAGGACTGGGAGAGGAGCGGCTGGCTGTTGCCAGAGAAAGGCCAGGTGGGCAGAGATGCTGCCACGATCTCAGGGACGTGAGGAACATCTTCCGGTGAGTGCTTCATTAACTACGCAGGGATAATGAGTGGCAAGGTAAGCAGGCATAATTTTTGAAGGGCATTATTCATTGTCATTTTTCACTGTCCTCTCTATGGTTTTAAAACAGGAATATTAGAATATCAGCAATATTTCAAATGCAGATGTTGCAGGTATTTTTTTCTCTTAAAAGTAGTCCCCACTTTTTGTTTACCCAAAGAAACTGAAAGTGGACCGTTTTCACAGTATGGGACCAACTAGATTTTTAAATTTAAAATGCCACCATTTGTTAATTACTCACATGAGTGGTAACAACTAAGTCAGCCTCAAAGCCATGTCCATATCCTCAGTTCTCTTTTTATATCAATAATAAAAATAAAATTTTGTATTTCTTCTGGTTGTTTCAAGTGGATATCCTAAAATAAAGTTTTCTTCTTTCCATCAAAATGGCTAAAAAATTTATACACTTTTTAGGAATGTGACTAAGACATCCATTTTATTGGACAGTTGGACAAAATTAGTCTAACTAATATTATAAACTCAAATAATTCACGAAAATGCTGTGTTGAATTGTAGAGCTCTTTGGATAATATTCTAAACCCAGGGAACAGATGAAAATTTTCACTGCTGTAGCTTTTAGGATAAGCACCCTGTAAGTGGAGAGAGCACCAACATTCATCGTCTGTGGGTGGCATTTCTCCAGGGACTGAGTGCTGACAGGCACTGCGTACTCCTTGGGGCCAGACAGTGTGAAACTCCCATCCTTCCCCCTCGAACCCCTCCCGGTGTCCCTGTGAGGCTGAGACTATCATACACCCCATCTGCAGTCAAGAAAATGGAGACTCAGGGAGGTTTCGTTACTTGCCTAAGATAGCCCAACTCGGAAGTGCTAGAGTCTAACACAGGGGACTGAAGCAAAGCCCGTTTTCTTAGCCTATAAACTAAATGTTAGGTTTCCAATAAGGTAAATGCAATAATGAGCATCACCTTTTTTTTTTTTATTTAAAGTAAAGCTCTTTGGGTACTAAATAAATTGTTCATCTTGGTTAATGTTAATGCTCTAAAACAGTAATATTATAGAATATACAACAAAATATTTTGAGTTCCCCTTCAAAGATGCACATCCATTATCTATTTATTCACAGGAATTACCTTTAAAAAATAAAGTATAAAAAATTCAATAAAAAGAGTTAATGTACACGGAATGCTGCCAACTCCCTCTAAAAAGTCTTTATAATAAATTGACTCTCACCATAACAAATTCAAAATGACTGCCCTTAAACGAGCTGTTCTAGGGGTAACCCGTGATATCAAACTTACATGGCTAGTAAGGCTTGTTGGGAGTAGGAAGAAGGGGACTGGAAAAGTATACGTAAGATAAAGAAAGAAAAAAAGAATGCAGGTCCTGGCTCTAATTAGGATAGCAATGTGTTTTGCAACAATTCCCTGGAAGTATTTTAAGCTTGAACAAAAAAACAAAATGTAAAACAACTTACATCTGAGAACCATAATTGGAAATCATTCCTGTTATTTTACAGATTCTAGCCCTACATAAAGGATAAAAAGTTAAACACCATTCTTAACCATAACATCGATATAATTACTTCTACTGAAAGCTATTCTACAGTATCTCTTGGATGTCTGGTGGCTTCGGTCAACTGCATGTATAATCTTAACATTATTCATTATTTGGAAGCTATTTTATTCTACTGTACAATACATATATCTAACAATGCTACTTTTCAAAGGCTGCAGATACGGAAGGCTAAAGGATTATTAAAGTATATAGGTCTACAAAAGATAATTTAGGCCGGGCGCGGTGGCTCACGCTTGTAATCCTAGCACTCTGGGAGGCCGAGGCGGGCGGATTGCTCAAGGTCAGGAGTTCAAAACCAGCCTGAGCGAGACCCCATCTCTACTATAAAAAAAATGGAAAGAAATTAATTGGCCATCTAATATATATATATATAAAAAAATTAGCCGGGCATGGTGGCTCGTGCCTGTAGTCCCAGCAACTCGGGAGGCTGAGGCAGGAGGATTGCTTAAAGCCCAGGAGTCTGAGGTTGCTGTGAGCTAGGCTGACGCCACGGCACTCACTCTAGCCTAGGCAAGAAAGCGAGACTCTGTCTCAAAAAAAAAAAAAAAAAAAAAAAAAAGATAATTTAAAGAAAGACAGTAGATGGAAAAAGCCTTAGAATGCTCTCACCCACAAACCACAAAATTTTAGAAATTATTTGTGATTTAGTAATCTATGAGGAAATAGGATCAGACAAAGAACTTGCACATCTGCTCCACAATACACGAGGATAACATCAACTCTTTCTAAAGCCTTTGAAATAAATATTTTAAGTAAGTTTCTATGGAGAAAATGGTTTAAAAAAATCAGTAAGACTGAACTTTTTTTCTAAGCTGCATATTCCCCATATTTAGAAAAGACCACCTACATTTCTTGGAAATTAATTTAGGGATAGAAAGTCACATGTTTAGTAAATGCACTTTCATTATGGCTAAAAAGCTGACTTCACAATATAGAAATATGACAACAACAACAACAAAAAACTCACCAAGAATTGCTAGGAAATGTCTGCAAAATTGAAAATAGCATTCATCACTGTTTTAGGCCCTAGGAAAAAGGGCCTAAAAAGTTTATTCCTCTGGGAATTTTCTTATTATCCATTAGATGTTATGTTCAAGAAACAGCAAGAACTATTGATATGTAAGAGCAGTGAGGTCCACAAAAGCTTCACTTACAAGAGCTAGCCTGATGACCTTAAAAAGCCTGTGTTTAAACAATGACCAGAAGCCTTTATGAAAAGGATTTGTTCTGTAAAATCTGGATTCCGTCAAAAGGCCACACTCAAGGACCCTTAAGGCCACAAGTGGCCCCAAGGCTGCAGGTTCCCCATTCCTAAGAGACCCCAGTCACCAGCCCAGCAGGCATCCATGCTGAAATTTATTTCCAAGTGAACACTGATAGAACCGGCCCACGTACCTGTCTCTACATAAGGGAAGGAAAACACTTAGCCTGGGTATTACCTCGAAGGACAATGGACTACCCCTGGGACTTGCCTTCATTTAATTATTATCAACTATTGAAAATACTCAACCCCCTGGGCTCTGCCAGGGCTAAGTTTACATGGGGTGTAATTTATCAGTGATGAGGGGCACTTCTGTGACAGTAACAGAATACTTTACTTTGACGATCAGCTAAAAAAAAAAAAAGAAAAGAAAAAAAAAGACAACAAAGAAACCCCAAACCCTCCTTTGATTTTAAAGCTGTAACACAGGAGAAGATGTTACAAACTATGGTACATGGTTTACTTTTAATCAAAATTCTGAAAAGTAGTAAAAAAGTTCACTTCCATTTTATTTTAAGAAGGTGTTTCTTTCCTATTCAATTTCTATTTTTATGATACAGGTTTTGTTTATTTTAGGGATCATATATAAAATGTGTAAATTATGATGGTTTAATGTTTATAAAGACAAGTATAATGAAATTTATAAGAATGTCTTTAAAATTAGGCTATAAAGTTTGACATTTGGGGCAAACATTTACTGAACCAGCATAAAACACTGTAACCTAGCAAATTTGGACAGTGTCTGCTTTTTATTCTTGAAGCATGATGGGTAGAAAGAAACTGTACAGTGAAAATAAATACAACATTTAAAAAATCCACAATCAACATTTATAGTTTTTGTTGGCTTAAAGGTTAAGAATACAAAGAAGACTCAAAATGCTGCCTGGCTGATGCTTTGTCCAAATAGCGTTTGTAAAAATGATGTGGAAAGGCAAGGGGCCAATGTCAAATCTGAGCTCAAATAGTGCTCAGTCAAAAGTGCACAGGCTTTTTAAAAGTAGGAAGTAAAAATAAGATGTGACTTTTTATGGAAACTGAGAGTCAGTTTCAAGAAAAAACATATTTCCTAACAATATAAAGCTTGACATTTTACCTGATCAATTTTCTTCCTTAAATTCCAAAGGATGATCTTTGAATACAATAATAATAAATTAATTAATTAAAGCACTCTGGGTTACTTTTTGCTACTGTTACATCTATTCATGTATCTCTGCAGAGCTCAAGACAGGCAACTACATTATTATCAAATAACATTATTAAAGATATCTTGTTTTTAATCTCTGACTTCTTCCCTAAAAACAATTCATAAACTCATTTCAACAGGTTTAAGTTTATAGTCTCAAAATTTCTCTTAATTTCTCACTTCCTTTGTTGGAAAGATTTAGTCCCATAACACAAAATGATGGCATAAAATGAACTCTGAATAATGCAGAACAGGGCAGAGTCTATGTCTAAAATGAATATTTGAGATTTTTTAATCTGCCTGGATAAAGACATTAACCTATGAAAATGTGCTCAACATCATTAGTCATCAGGGAAATGCAATGTAAAACTACAGAGAATTACTACTACACACTTATTAAAAAGGTTAAAATTAAAACATTTGGCCATACCAAGTATGAATGAGAATACAGAGTAAAGGGAAATCTCATATATTGCTGGTGTAACCACTTTAGAAAACAATGTGACAGTTTCTTAAATAGTTAAACATACACCAACATGTCAGCCAGACATTTCACTCTTCAGTATTTACCCAAGAGAAACAAAAACATATGCCCATAGAAGGACTTGAACACAAATGCTTATAGCATTATCGCAATATCCAAAAACTGGAAACAAATGTCCATCAGCAGATATACGAATAAATAAATTGTGCAAAGCCATATGATGGAAAACGACTCCACAATAAAAAAAAAAAAAAAAAAAGCCAGTGAATCTCAGAATCATTATTCCAAGTGAAAAAAAAAAAGAGTACACATTGTATGATTCCATTTATATGTTACAGAATATGCAAACTAATCTATAGTGACAGAAAGTATATTGGCAATTGCCAGAGATGGGGATAGAAAGAAGGATGGACTAAAAGGGGCACAAGAAAACTTTTAGGGGTGAGGGAAATGCTTGTTATCTTGATTGTGGTGATGGTTTCACAGGTGTATACATACACAAAAACTGAGCAAATTATATACTTTAAATACATGTAGTTTAGGATGCTTCAATACAGTTAGGAGAAAAATTTGTAAGACCCTAAATTCTATCTGTTGTGTCTTTTAGGAAGCATAAAAGAAAAAATTTCAAACTATGGTAATAAGAATGCACTTGGAGCTCAAAACATGAGCCAGTTTCGAGCCACAAAGTCTGGATTTCTCATTTGCACAGTCATTTGCATCTTCATTTTTCTTTATTTAAGGACTCCAACTCATGAGGAACCAGAGGAGGAACCCACCTATCCAGTAGTAGTGGAATGTGGCTTTTATCCAGATGAACTGTGTTCAGCTTTATTTGAAGGGAAAGGGGCAGCCCCCCAAATTGCAAAATTTTGTAAAAACCCATATAGATCTGAAATACTTGCTCATTTACACAAACCAGGAAATTGCTCCAGGATTTCCCAGGGGTTGCATTTCATAACCAGACCCCTGTCTGCAGAAGAGGGCAATTTCTCTCTGGCATACATTATAACTATTCATAAGGAGCTGGCCATGTTTGTGCAGCTTCTCAGAGCTATTTATGTACCTCAAAATGTTTACTGTATTCATGTTGATGAAAAGGCCCCAAAGAAGTATAAGACTGCTGTGCAAACCTTGGTTAGCTGTTTTAAAAACATTTTTATTTCATCAAAGAGAAAGAAGGTTGCTTATGCTGGCTTTACGAGACTGCAGGCGGATATTAATTGTATGAAAGATCTAGTGCATTCCAAATTTCAATGGAACTACGTCATTAATCTCTGTGGACAAGATTTTCCAATCAAAACCAACAAAGAAATCATACACTATATCAAAAGCAAATGGAATGATAAAAATATCACTCCCGGAGTAATCCAACCACCAAACAGTAAATCCAAGACAAGACAAAGTCATCCCAAATTCAGTCCTGAAGGAAATATCTATGTATCTCCAAATAAAAGATTCAAATATGAACCACCCCACAACTTAACAATTTATTTTGGAAGTGCTTACTATGTACTTACGAGAAAGTTTGTAGACTTCATACTAACTGACATTCGTGCAAAAGACATGCTTCAGTGGTCCAAAGATATCTACAGTCCAGAGCAACACTACTGGGTGACCCTGAACCGACTAAAAGGTAAGAACAATACAACAATATGGATATCTGTCCAGGTCAGAAGCAACAGCAGGAGAAGTTTTATTCTTAACTGAAGATTCTTTCTATTCAGCTATTTTTCCAGGGCCGTAAAATTTGAAAGATCTTCCACTCGGGGAGTACAGGAGGTTCTTTGATTTTAGGGATCTTAAGATGGCTGAAAGGGAGCCATGTTCCCAAACCAGATTGGCTGCTTCTGCTCCCTCTCTAGAAAGAAGTACTGGCATTTTGCTTCTCCTCAGATAAAGGCTGTTGAAAATTCTAAACACAAATCTTTGAGAAGTTCTTCCCTTCTTAATTCACTTGATAAACACTACTAGTACCTACTAGTGCCAGACATTGCACTAAGAGCTCTTTAAGAATGGAAAATATTACAACTAATAATGTTTTTGTAGCAAAGGCAATAGATACTTCAAATTGGTTCTCTGAGAGGCAGAGGGAAATTGGATGCCCTCCTTTAAGTGGATTTCAGTATTTTCTCTGTAGATGGATTGGCTGGCTCCTATAGGGACTTTGGCTTCAAGCCTGAACACCTAAGCTAATCAGTATAGACAACAGTGCAAACAATGAATCCAGGAGAAATTGGTTAGGACCTTTTAATAATCTCTCCTATCCACTGCAAGTTCTATCTTCATATCACCCCAGAGGCTGTTACAGAGCAAAGAACCACAACATAATCATAAAGAGCACATTGCAAACATCAAGTTAGTTACAAGGGATGGGGAAAGGGATGGAAAATGAAACCTCAGTGTAAAGGTGGAGATCCAGACCTTGGTCCACCCCAGTACTCCTGCAAGCACAGTGCACGCCCCACCCCCAAAAGCACTAGCCTTTGATCAGATGTAACAAATGAAACATCTTAATCAAGGTTGGACCTTCATCTCTACCATTCTCACTGAGTACCTTATCTAGGGGAAATGGGAATGACAGCACAGAAGAGCTTGGCCTAGAAGAATGTGGAAGCTATTTAACAGATTCCATGTTGTATGCTGGTTTTGTTTCCCCTCTTAGATGCTCCGGGTGCTACACCAAATGCTGGCTGGAAAGGAAATGTTCGAGCCATTAAACGCAGAAATGAGGAAGGACATATTCATGATGGATGTAAAGGTAAAAACAAAACAAACAAAAACACCTCCAATTTTTACAAAAACTATACAACTGCTGCTTCAATTACAGGAGGAGAAGACTGACCATCATGTTTAAAGTAATTTGGAATTAGTGGTGATCCAATTAGAATGTGCATCAATTTTTTTTTGAGACAGAGTCTCACTCTGTTGCCCAGGCTAGAGTGCCGTGGCGTCAACCTAGCTCACAGCAACCTCAAACTCCTGGGCTCAAGCAATCTTCCTGCCTCAGCCTCCCGAGTAGCTGGGACTACAGGCATGTGCCACCATGCTCCGGTAATTTGTATATATGTTTTTAGTTGTCCAGATAATTTCTATTTTTTTAGTAGAGACAGGGTCTCCCTCTTGCTCAGGCTAGTCTTGAACTCCTAAGCTCAAACGATCCACCTACATTGGCCTCCCAGAGTGTAAGGATTACAGGCGTGAGTCACCATCCCTGGTCCTTCGTTTCATTTTTAGATTGAAATAAATTATTTTTAATTTTTTTAAGAAACAAGGTCTCGTTATGTTGCTCAGGCTGCACTTGAACTCCTGGGCTGAAGTGACCCCTCCTGCCTCAGCCTCTAGAGTAGCTGGGACTATAGGCACCCACCACCATGCCTGGCTAGATATTTTAGTATGCATTCTTGTGGCAGCCTTCTTGACCTGGAATCTTAATTTCTAGGTACTTAGGTAAGGCATAGAGCCCTCCCTGGGTAGTTCTTAAGTAGTTCTTGCTGAAGGAAGGTGTTTTTGCTTTGCCCTCAGATTCTCCCTGAGAAACTATGAATTCTCTCTTTGTCCCCCGTCCGGTGTCCCAGAGGTTTTAGCTGCTGAGGCAATATACCAGCAAGATTTGGAATGGGGGAGAGTGGAGGCCTTCCTTTGTGAAGGGTTTGGAAGAGAATCAGCTGGCTGCACAGGGGTTCTCAGGCACATCAGCTGGGTTGAGGGAAAACCTATGGAGCTATTCATGCTACCTTGGGGGTGGAGGGGGAAGGCCCAGCTCTTCCCATCTTTTAACCCTCAGTTTGAAGATGGCTGTTTGGGAAGAACAGATAGTTCTGGAGAACAAGAGGGAAGACAAACAATTCATAGCACAATGTAAGTCCAGCAGGAGTTGTACAAACGTTCCAGGAGAGCTCATGGAAAGGAAAACGGGGGTTGGGGGAAGAGGCCGAAAAACGGACAGAGAATGCAGAAAGGCAGAGCAGCGCTGCATGTGGGGGCAGCTGTGGCAGAGCACGCCCTCCTCAAGGATGTCTGGACTTGCCGTTTGCCTACACACGGCTTCCGATGCACCTGCAGGAACTACTGCACAGAGATATGATAACCTATTTTAATAAGTGCATTTGGGTAGGGCCCTCAGGTTTGAATATGGTAGACTAGATAGATATGCAAAACAAACTCAGTTTATCCAGTTTTTCAGTAGTTTAAAAGAATGACCTAAAATAAATAGGTGGTAGGCAAATAAAAAAATATAAACTCACATACTAGAATGCTTCAAAGATGAGTAAGTCCCCCTGCTGTGCACAGCCATCCATCCTCCTGACACACAGGTCCCAGGTCAGAAGGGCTAGAGTAATTTTCTAAGGTAGATATAATTCCATTAGGGAGCTATTCACATGGGCAGAAGGTGACAGGTAAACAACAGGCATCCTTGCCCTTTCTTTAGAAAGCAAGTGCTCACTGTCATCACTTACTGGAGTTGTCAGGACTAGTTAACAGACACATAGAAAAGTGTGTGGGGGGCTTTGATCTTTCCTGAAAATGCGACATCCTCAGGTGTGCAGATGCTAAAAGAAGTCATGAAGGGTTGTTGCCATCAATAGTAAAGCAATGATTCCGAATTCTTAAAAGTGAAAACCTGAATGTCTCGATAGTGTTTGGGTGGGTAGGGGGGACCTAGTTATTATGAATCCCAACAAAGTCATCATTCCCTAAAAGTAAACACTTCACAAGGTTCTTACCACCACTAGCTTCAGTGCACAAATGGTTCTCACAGTAAAGCAGCAACATGGCCATCTGGCACCAGCATTTAGTCAGCACTCCATGTAAGACAAGCACCAGTAAAGGGATGATGGTAAACTCTCTGGCTCTGGGCCTTGCACTCAACAATTCTAAGGTAGACACTACAGTTGACCCTTGAATTGAACGACACAGATTTGAACTGTGAGGTCCACTTATACATGGATTTTTTTTCAACCAAACCAGGATCTAAAAAACACAGTATTTGACTTGAGTATGTGCAGATTTTGGGATACACAGGGGTCCTAGAACCATGTCCTGCATATACCAAGGGACGACTCTACTACCCTTCACCCTTTACAGATGAAGAACCTAGGGCTCAGAGAAGTGAATTAACTCCTAAAGGCACCGGAAGTGGCAGAGCTGGGTCTCAAACCAGGTGCAGCTATCTGTCACCACTACACTGGGCACGCTCACAGCCTAACTCTGCACGCGGGACAGCTATCCCATTATAATCAGCAACAAAGAGTTTGTTTATTTTTAATCACCCGGACAGCATTAACACAACTCTGAAAACATCCATTTGTTTGTGTCCCCTTCTAGTTCAAATCCATCTACATCTAAATGGTAGTCACACAATTATAATCAAGGTATGGCTGAGTTGTGTTTCACTTATGTCTTAAGTCTTCCCCACTGTTTGTCTTTGTGTCTATAATTTTCAACCGGTTAAATGTAACTGTACTGAGATTCTATCACACTGTACCAAAAACAACTATCAGTTAAGTTAAAAATGCTTTGATTATGATAACTGCTGTTACTTAGACAACGCTACCACATGCCAGGTCTAGGCCCTCAACGTACAGGAACGCCTGCTCGACAGGAGAGAAACCTCTTTTGATTTTTTTTCAGTCTAACAAACAAGAGACTTTTTGTGAATGCATTCTCTTTCTCCCCACCCCCATATCCCCCCTTCCCTGCTTTAAAATAATATTTCCTTTAGATAGACTTTTAGAAGGAGGGTTTCTGAGCTGGTGAGGGGAGACTGGGCAGAGAAGGAGTGAAGTCTCAGAAGTGACCAGACCCTTTTCTCCCTCACTTCTCTAAATCTGTTTCCTCACCTGCAAACTGAGGATATTGATAGAAACCACTTTGGAGTGTGGCTGTGAGGATTAGAAGAGAGAGCAGAAAGTCAAACACAGTTTCAGGCACACAGAGAGCCACTGAGTTCATCTAGCAGGAATCCAATCAGCACTGGACTCTGTCATTCCCATTTTAATTACTGATATTTATATCAAACACTCACTCTGAAAAATCAATACATGACAGAAGCAATGACTTATTAAAACCAACACCATTCTTATGAACTACCTATAACCAAAGAAAAGACTTAGAAACTATCAGAATTTAGATTTTACCAGGCAAGTGAGTGTTATTTCATCTCCCTTGTGCCCATGACTAGATAAAATTCCACAGTATTCACCTATAATAGCATCAAACATTTTAGAAATCACTAACAAAAAGAATGAAAATGTCCCTTTCCATCATAAATTCAAAATTCAACATAAAAGTACCTGTTGAAGCAATCATGGAATGCTGTTTGATATGAGCTCTTATGAAGCTAAGAGGCCTTATGGATGACAATAGAAGAGACATGTGCCATATTTTTGCATGGATAAAATTGGTGGGGATACAAAGGCAGCTAAATTTTTGCATTTCTGTTTACAGGCTATTATGTCCAAGATATCTGTGTTTATGGACCAGGAGACTTGCCATGGATCATTCAATCACCTTCTCTGTTTGCCAACAAATTCGAGCCCTCAACAGACCCACTTGTGGTTACATGCTTAGAGAGGCGGCACAGACTGAAAGTCCTAAGGCAGGCAGAAGTTCCTGTAGAGCCACACTGGCGTTTTCAACAGGAGAGTCATTTTAACATGAAACTGAACAGCTGAGGAGTGTTTGCTTTCTTACTGGTATCATTCCATTTCCTTAACTTGGAATAAGAGAACATGGAACTGAAAAAGAAAGAACAGGAAAATGATACAAATATAAATTATCCCTAAATACAAATAAGAATGGAAAATGATACAAATTACTCTTAAAATGAATTCAGAAACATGTTATTGACAAGACTTTACTACTGATTATAGGCCACTTTTAATAGCTTTGGGAAAGGAATCATAAGAGAAAAAATAATTCAAGCTACCACTGGTGACATGTACATAAGTATCCAGAAGGCCATCAGTTGCTGAAAACCAAAATTCTCCAAAAGCTTAGATCCAGGTTCAAACTGGAGTAAGGAAAATACATCTTGTTTTGAAGTCCTGGATACTACTGTGTATCACCTTTCGTACTGCTCACAAGTTTTCTCCCATGTTTCACGTGCCATCTGTTATGGACCTTAGATGTCAACACACTGTCTTGTCCATTAGGGAGAGTAGAAGTTTACCACCAAATTTGGAAATGAAAACGTCAAGAATGAAGAAAGGTGACATAATATTTTCCAGAAAAGGCGATATTCTTCTCCTAGCATGGAAAGACAAGCGGGTTGTCTGAATGATATCAACGATCCATGACACTTCTGTCTCGACAACAGGAAAAAAAAAATAGAAAAACAGGAGAGAACATTGTAAAACCTGTCTGCATCAAGGAATACAACGCCCACATGAAAGGCATTGACCGTGTGGATCAATTCCTTTCGTGTTGTTCCATTCTAAGGAAAACGATGAAATGGACAAAAAAAGTAGTGTTGTACCTTATAAACTGTGGACTTTTCAATTCATTTAAAGTGTACAACGTCCTCAATCCACAAGCAAAAATGAAGTATAAACAGTTTCTGCTATCAGTGGTGAGAGACTGGATAATGGATGACAATAATGAAGGCTGTCCGGAACCAGAGACAAATCTGTCCAGCCCTTTCCCTGGGGGTGCAACAGCACCTCATAAAGATCTACCCAAAAGGTTGTCAGGTGATATGAAGCAGCATGAACCTACGCGTATTCCAGCGAGTGGAAAGAAAAAATTTCCAAGGAGAGCCTGCAGAGTTTGTGCCGCCCGTGGAAAAAGGAGCGAATCTAGATATTTATGTAAATTTTGTTTGGTCCCTCTTCATAGAAGAAAATGTTTTACGCAGTACCATACGTTAAAAAAGTACTAGGAAATTTAATTGTTTGATTAGTTTTTTAATTGTTTAAGTAAATAAAAATGTTATAATTATTGAAAAACAACACCTAAAGTGCATTATGATCTGTAGTTATGATGATTTAAATAACGTGCAGTTTGTCCAAAAACGTGCAGTCCCTGGCGTATGTCTTAGAGATTTCTATGTGGTATGAGATAATTAATAAAGAATAAACTCCCATTGAAAACGAAAATATGCTTATCTAAAACAGTCCTCATTGGCTGAGAACAACATAATTTTGTTCTGGAAAAACACTGGAGTCTATTTCTTTGGGTAAAATGAAACTAATCTGGAGTAGAAGACACAGCTTCTTAAAAAGGCTGCCCCTAAGTGTCTGCAGTCTCACTGCTTCATCGCTAGTACTTTCTGTGATGGTGGAGGTGTTCCATACCTGAGCCATCCAACACTAACCACAACCACAGGGGCTACTGGCACTGGAAATGTGGCTAGCATGATTGATGAAGTGAATCAGTTTGTAATTGATTTTAAAATTTTTAATTAATTTAATGCTAAGTAGGCAAATGTGGGTAATGGCTACCATGCTGAATAGCACAGCGTAAACAGTTGTGGTTATCTCTGTTCGCCGGCCCAAGTCTTCTCCCTTATAAAGTCCATGATTTTTTTGTTTTTGCTGCTGTTGTTGTTGAGAACTTTATATACATTCTCTTTTCTAAAAGAGTTCACGGCATCATCTAAGACCGAAATGCACACTATTAAATAGTAAAACATAAAACAACTAAAAAAAAAAAAAAAAAAAAAGGAAAAGCAGGAATCACAGGAAACTAAAGAAATAAACATATAATTCAAAGGCCAAGTGTGGGCACCTAGTAAACTGAAGTACTGCACACATAAAGATGAAATCAAATCCACTGAGAGTCAGTGAAACAGCCCTGGAAAAGCATGAAGCTAAATAGCAGGAAAAGAAAAGAGATTTTGAAGGCAGATACCACAAACCAAACATAAATAGACAACAGTATACTTATTAAGCAAACTCTTCTTCCCCTTAAGATATTTAAATCCAAGGAAAGCACATATTGAAAATGTTAAGACTGTCAAAGAGAAGAACACAGAGCCTCATGCACCAAACCACCATTTTCCTATACATTTTTACAGGCAAATTAGTATTCCTGAAGGTGCAGACTGGCTACGTTCTGACTGGTGATTCATTCTGAAAGCTCATATTATCACAATTATGTCCCCTTTATTTTATACTAATAACAAATCATTAGCAACTGAATGTACACCTCATTTTTTAAAAAAAGCTTAAATCTTTTCAAGTTACTTGAAGCATGCCTTCCTTGCATTTCATTTCCTTTCAACGGCGATCCACAGGACAGCCGCAGACCATGAAGGGGGCCCTCATAGGAGTATCCACCCCCAGGACTGTTGTGAGGACCAAGGGTGTCCCTGTGGATGGATGAAGCTCTCATAATTATGTCTGACACTTTTTTCACAGATGAGGAAACTGAGGCACAGGGAGATGATCGGACCTTCCTGAGACCAGACAGCTAGGAAGGACTAGACCAGGCAGGCAGTCTGATAGAGGGTCCCAGCCTACACCACCTTACCTCACACAGAGAAGCACGAATTCACATACATGCCTGCCCCTGGCAAGCTCAAACAAATCGTTTCAGTAAGAGCACAATAAAATAAAAATAACGGAGTGACATAAAGGCAGGGCAGAATGCAGCAGCATGATACCAGGCTTAGGCGGAGCAGGGGGCAAGGCATAAGGGGAGGCTGAGGCTCGTGGGCCACGCTAGGCAGGCCAAGTGAAAGCAGCAGCCTCTCTGAGCATCAGGACAAGAAGCCAGGTGCACTCCATCCTGGTGAGACTCTCCGTGTGTCATTTGTAAAGTAAAGGGACAAAATTAAATCACACTTAAAAAATGTCGGAAATATATTGCCAAGGTGATGGATAAATAGGGATCCTCAATTTTTCTAGCATTCTGGGAAAAGATGCCTCTTACTGACATGTAAAGTTTAATATTGCATTTTTCTGTAAAGTTTTCTTATGTGTAAAAATTTAAGTCTGCCTATGCTGTGTATTATGTGAGTCCCCGAGGCTAAGTATTCACAAAGATCATAAAGATGGCAGAAAGATAAAATAACCTGAAGGAGGCCAAAGCCGGAAAATCAGAATTAGCTGAGAGCTGACTACTTTGGAAGGTACCCCTCCCCTAACTTAACTTTTCCTCTTTCTAATCCACCCCTCCATGAAGAGCACATAAATAATGCGTATGTTTTCTGACTTCTGACTTTACAACACACCCCATTCACCAATCTCCAAAGATTAAATAAAGGAAGACAGAAACTAGCAAGTCAAACACTATGGATCACATCTCTAATATCTACATCAGTACTTGTCAAATTTTATTATGCACACAAATCACCTGAGAATCTTGTTAAAATGCAGATTCTATTTCAGCAGATCCGAGGTAGGGCCTGAGAGTCTGCATTTCTTAAAAACAAACAAGCAAAAACCCTCCCGGGTGATGTCAATATTGCAGGTCTGTGGGTGATGCTTTGAGTAACAAGCACAGCACTTATTTTGCAACCTGCAATTACTCCAGTGGGTTTCTTCTTATTACAAGCAGTGAAGAGCACAGTGGGGAATACAATTAATTTTTTGGCTAGTGATTTGTTTATAGTGAAAACAAAAACACCTAGCAACAACATCTCTTTGGACCCTGTTTACTAAAATCAAGTGTGCACGCCATGTGTTTTGGAACATGGAACAAAACTATTTCAAACCCTCACATCTCTTCCAGTGAATTGAAAAGCCAAACTGAAAAGTAAGAAAATGAT